CGTCTTCTTCTTCTTCTTCTTCTTCTTCTTCTTCTTCTTCTTCTTCTTCTTCTTCTTCTTCTTCTTCTTCTTCTTCTTCTTCTTCTTCTTCTTCTTCCTCTTCTCGAGTCCCATGATGATACTTGGTCTTTGTTGCCATTGCATCTTATCCCAGGTCAGTGTAAGTTAGTATTCGACACCACAATCATTAACACTTATGCTCGGATAGTGCCCAACCTAGATTCTCTGAGGAAGCAACTCAGCAGATTGTTCGCCAGTTGCTCAAAGGTATACGATTCATGCATGACAACAATTTTGCACACAGAGATCTCAAGCCAGGTGTACGTGTTCTCCTTTTGCCTTTTGCTATCTTTTCTTCTATCGTGCTTTGGTCTAAAAATAAAATAGAATATCCTCGTAGCAGCCAACTCACCTCGCTGGGTGGTAAAGATTGCAGACTTTGGCATTAGCAAACAGTTCATGGAAGGGGGCACGAACCTGCAGACACATGTCGGCACGTCGCTTTATATGGCCCCTGAAGTTTGGGAAGCAAGAGAGGGCACAAACTACTATTCAGTCTCCGTCGATATTTGGGCGATCGGCATAATTTCCGCCGAGTTGTTGTTGAAGGAGCACCCATTACCTTCCCTTCTTGAGCTCGCCAATCTCATCCAAGGTCATAAACCATTGATCACCGATACTGAAAAGGGCCTAGTCCTTTCGGAAGCCTATAGGGACTTTGTCCGAAAACTATTAAAGATCGATCCATTTGTGCGATTAACAGCAAGATCAGCTCTTCAACATCCATGGCTAGAAGAAGAAATCCCAGATTCGGAGGACGAGGAATCGTGAGTAATATAACCTTCTAGAACCTTGCACAGGGTTCGAAAGCCCTGACTTGAAATAGGCTTTTCGTAACAGATGTCATCCCTCCACGGAATTCGTTACAGCAACAACAGCATAGTGTATCACAAATCTCCCTGCCTTCATTGGCGTGGTCAAATCTACGTTTAACGGACGCTAGATCGGCGACACAGTCTACAGAGAACAATCTTCTCGACACCTATAGTGGTCCAATACTTGATTCACGCCTCCTACTCCCTAGCCTTCAAAATTTGTCATTGGAGACTGTATGTCTTGCATCTACTTGTGATGCCCTATTATGAAATTCTAAATCCTATGTGAACAGACTCGATACTTTGTCTTAAGGTCAGACAACCCAATCGACATCGAAACCAGCGCCGCTCACGACGTCTGGACTTCGAGTCAAAGAGTCAACAAGATTCTAGACAGTCAGTCCCCATTTATTTCCCCTCATAAGCAGCCAATGGCTCGGTTGTTATAATATCTCTTATGTATCGCTTGTGGCTTGTATTCTTGCAATGGTAACTAACTCCAGCTTGTGAATAGAGGCATGGGAGAGGACTGACGGCCAAGTACTTTTATTTTTCTCGGTCATTAAGAGGTAATTAACTAATATTAACCCCTCCTTCTACAATAATTTCCTCGTCAGTACTCCTAGACAAACCCTATCTCTTTAACTCTTATTGTCCTCATAGTCAAAAGTTTTGCGGGATTGCTCAGATGACGAGTGCCATGGATTGGGCACATACGGACGACCACTGGTTAGAAGATTCGTGGAAAGGGTGAGTAACTCCATTGATGGCTATACCCTTGTTTATAGCTAACTTTTCTCTCAGACGATTCACACTTAATTGGCTTTGTTTATCGGAGCTACCCTTCGAAGGGGTAAAGCATGTGCCCGTGAAGAGCACCACGCCGGGGTTTCGCGCCATCTCATGTTATGACGGGACTGAAATCAGTGCACCCTCGGCATTCGAGCTACTAAAAGCGTACACAGCCAGAGACCGAGAAGTATCGCAGATCTATTCACCACCTCCCACGATAAACCATATGGACATCGATAGCGTTCCATCGTCTTCGAGATTCGCCCCTTCGATGGAACAAGACGTGATGCATAGTTTTTTGCCTCAGTCTGATGGCCAATCAACGAAAGATAGAGGGCATGCATTCTTTTCCCTTTCCGGGTTCAGTACCATGTTGAGACCACAGAGATGATACCGCTTTCTAAAGACCGGACGACAAGCGCTTCAGATCACTCCAATAAGGTATCGGGATTGGATAACCATTAACGTTAAGTTTACGAAGAAGCATAATTAGGCGTTTCTTAGGCTTATCATAACAGCAGCATGTATAATGCAGTGCATGTCTCATATTACTTAAATTACTTACATAATTAGTTATAGCTTCCTATAAATGCTTTAAGATGGTCGGCGACTCGACTCATGGCCCACGCCGTCGCCAGCTAACGACAGGTCATGGTTAGGGGGATTAAAAGTCAGTGAACTTTCAGGCTGGTATGGCAGCAATTCGCTTAATTAAAGCGCGAGAGATCTACGCAGACAGTTACATCGGCTATGTCTACTAGTCATCTTGATATGAGCTGAAGGGTCATCCATCACGGCGATTATTATATCAATAAAATGAATAAGGGGTGATGGTTACTGAATTCCTCATCATACTTAGCCACAGTCAATCTCACCTCCGTGAGCCCAGAACATAAAATATGTGAATTATAGGTTAGATCTCAGGTCGCTTTCTCAATTAAACGAACCCAAAAGTCATCTATCAGAAAGCTCGAGTAGCCTCGACATCGCCATGGCGTCTGCGGATTCACAATCTGGAGGTCACACGCTCGCAATATCTGAAACAACAACAGCATCAATACCAAATCACCATTGAGATAATAACGACGGGAAAAGAATGAACAAGAAAGAAACCCACCTCGACAAAAATCTTGTTCAACTCCAGCCATGCAAGCGTCTTCCCAGGACACTGCCATCGGCCATGGCCAAAAGCAAGATCTATGCTTCTCATAAGCTCAGCCTTCTTCTCATCAGTGCACTCGAGGAATCGCTCAGGCCGGAAGACATCCGCGTCAGGCCCAAATACGGCTCGATTACGCAGCATGGCCCAGAGATTGACAAAGATATCTGTTCCCTCCGGGACAAACATGCCACAGAGTATATCTCCGCCCGCCGGGACTTTCTTGGGGAAGCCTGTGATAGCCGGTGGCACCATGCGCAGTCCTTCATTGATGACGGCCTGGAGATACGGAAGCCTTTTAGCCTCCTCGTTCGTGATGGGGCTCGAGATACGGCCTTCTGCAACCCCTACGGCAATCTCGTCCTGCAGCTTCTTGTACACAGGAGGCGAAGATAAGAGGTAAAGCATGATTCCTCGTATCGCAGTCGTCGATGTCTCCGAGCCAGCGGGAACTTGGATAGCCAGTTCAAGTTCACATTCGCGACGTGTCAAGCCGTTATTGATCCACTCGTCCTACGATGAATGGTGTGAATAGAGCGACTTTCCTAGGGATTGTCCAGTCGGACTATAAGGATTTGACTCACCAACATATCGCCTTGGGTGTACCTGTCACACACCGACTCGTCAAAGCGCTTAGACACGACCTCCTTAACGATACTAGCCACTTGAATCAGCAGTGGTGAATGGTTTACTCTTCGAGGCGCTACTTACCCCAGAAACCTGCCCATTCCTTTCTGGTCTGTATGTTTTGGCCCAGCCAGCTTGAGGAAGAACTTGGAGGCGAAGAAGTCCCGCAAAGTGGGAATCATCATGAACGAGTGCAGGAAAGGCACGAATGAATCTGCTATCGAGATGAAATCAAACCGGTCCGTTTCGGAGGCGAGGTTACCCCACGGTTCACCGGACCCGGCAAGCGTGACAATATCGACTTGAAAGAACCTGATGAGACGGCTAAAGTCGATGATATTATGCGATTTCTCCTTCCCACTACACTTGGATCTGAGAAGTTTCACGAGGACCGCTATCTGCGAATCTACCTTGGCCTCGAGGTCCACAGCGCCCTTCCCAGCATATCCGCCCGCCAATTTCGCCTTGCGCTTGTCGTGTTTTGCCGTGTCCGGCTCGGACAGCACACTATGGCCATAAGGGTCGAATTGAATGCTGTTATACCAGGCGCCACGGTCATAGTTGGACCGCACGTTGTTGATCTGGCACAGGGTCTGGGGGTCGTACACAAGTAGCTCGTTCGGGCCAATGCGCATGATCTTGCCATATCTGTCTTGTTCCTCGGCAAGTCGAAGATGCATTCGGCCTGTGCTCATAGCGAAGTAACCCCATAGATAACTGAAGGAGGCGAACCAGGGCCCTGGGAACTGGCGGAGTCGATGCCATGATCGAAATGCCAGGAGACCATACCATGCGGCAAAGGTACATAGGGCGATAATTATTGCGAGGCTAATGTTGGGACTCGAAAGAGCCAACTGGAGAAGCCAGAAAGCCATGCTTATGATGGGTTGTATAGACAAGAAGCTCAAATGCTGTGTGAACAGCTCCTGAACTGGCCGAGCTTGCAGGACATAATGCCACTTGTACGTCCCTCATTGTGCAAGACAAACAAAGAGCAGCAATCTCCCATTCTGCGCTACCTATCTGTATGTGCTCATTGTAGCTAGAACTATGGTCCACATGCATGCTACGTATACAATCGAAGTTCTACTAGTGTGTGTGTATGCATTCCCCGTCCTGCCCGTCGAGCCCAGTCTCAGCAACCAGGGATCTACAAGAAACTCTCCGCCGGGTTAATCATCTACTTAACCAAGCCACCATGCTCATAACTCTCTGCATACTACTGCGTAGGCGCCCCGCTCGTGTACATGAGAGGAGAGAGAGGTGAAAGGATTGGCACAATTAACATTAGGCTGTCAGAAAGCTGGTCAATAGCGGCTGCCACCCGGTTTGGCACCAAGGTCTTTGACCGCCACAGCTTGAGCAGCTTTCCTGCTAGGTATTACCTTCATGTGCAGGGTTGGTGCCAAGAATTCCTCGTCTCATGCTGTCGACAAAGGCCAGGTCATTAGTCTAGCCAGGCCAGGATAGTGAATGAAAACATGCTACCTGCGACTTGCTTTAGCCGATCTACACTCGTAAGCGTCCAGTCACATGGAAGCAAGTCGAGCAGGTGGGTGCGCCACTGTCTGGGACCTAATGAAACTTCCATCCCGCTTCCATGGTAATGGTAAGCGATCCGGCGGCAATCGGTAGATGATGGATGATGCCGCCCTTTCCAGTCTGTCGGGACCATCAGCTGACACTGTAACACTGTAACCTGACTTGACCCCTGTGATGACAAAGAAGCCATCACATACCTATAGTTGTAGAGAACAATTGTCTTTCCCTTGAAATTGCACAGGCAAAATCGCTGGGTTCAAAATGGCCACCAGCATCCTATTTAAACTTAAGCCCAATTGAGTATTTCTCGTCAGTTCTCCGCCGACTAGCTGTTCTAGCCTATCGTCGCTATTCTCAATCGAGAAGGGTTCAGATCGCTTTCCGATGGATACATATGTAGGTAGGTAGGTAATCAGTCGTCAGTCTGCTGATCCGTAAGGGCTACAGATGCTGCTTTGCGCCCCCCCGGGGGGGGGCGGGGGGGGGGGGGGGGGGGCGGCGGGGGGGGGGGGGGGGGCGGGGGGGCGGGGGGGC